TTTATTTTATTTTACTTTAGGTAGTAGTACTTAACTTACGTTATTAAGTTATTAGTTGTATATTAGTTAGTTGTGTGTGTGTGTGTGTGTGTGTGTGTGTGTGTGTGTGTGTGTGTGTGTGTGTGTATATATATATATATATAAATATAAAGTAAATATCTGAAGGCCTAGTCATAAATACATATTTACATGAGTTTATTTAAGTTCTATTGCCAAGGTTTAGAAATTTTTTGGATGCATTTGTACTTATTTCAAGATTGAATTCAAACTGATCACATACTGCAATTTCTTTTTTCATTTCTGGTAGCTGGGGAAAAAGTGGGAGTACTGAATGCCACATTATTCTTTAAATATTAAGTTGAAATAGGGGAATATGTCATATTTTCTTTTTACTGAAAACTAATTCCAGCTTTATGCTATAAAATCAGTCAAAAAAGCTGTAAACACATTTATTCAAGTAATTAAAACTGAAAACTGTGCTCATACATAATTCTCTTGTCTAAAGCTATAAAACACCAACACTTAAATCATGTTTTTCAAATAATTCCCAAAGTTATAAAAATTTATAAGAAGAACCAGTTTTAACACTAAATAAGTTTACAACTTGTCAACCTGAATTCACTTTAGCATGAAAGAGCACAAAATATAATTTAAATGTTCAGGTTCCTTTTGATAATGTACATATAATCCTGCTTTCACAAATCAAACTTTTTTCTGCTGTATGTTACAGGACAGAAAAACAAATACCTGCTTCCTATGTGACAAATACATTTTTTACAATGAATATAATAATAGAGGGTATGATTGGCTTGTCAGTATATCTCATTATATAAAAAAATATATTAAATACTGGAAGGATTATTTTAGGATAACAAGCAAATAAAAAAATAATATCAAAATACAATCATGTGTAAACTGATGAGATATAACATACTAAAAGCAACTGTATACTTGTATAATTTCAAAACAGTCTACATACACCTGAAATAAAATATTTTTATAATACAATTACCTTAAGTTAAATAACACAGAACTTTCTAATCAAATCAATACTTTAGTATAAGCAGTTAAAAAAAGGAAACTTTACAAGCTCAACCAAACAAAAGGCACTTACTACCAGATAGATTTCACATATTTCTTTGAAATTTGTTAAAAACCATGAAGTTTTTACAACATAATAAAACTACAAGTGGCAGGAAAGAACTAATTTATGGCAAAAAACAGGGATGTATTTAGAAAAAGAAGGAAACATGATTTAATAATTTGAAAATAAAAATGTGATTGTTTGTTCATGTCCATTTGATACTAAGATTTTTTAAATGTGTATATGAAAACTCTAAAAATAAACCTTACAAAATCTTGAATGATTCTAGTCTCTAGTTCATTTTTGGGTTTATTCTATTCATTGTATAAGTATCTCAAACATTTGTTTTAAAAGAAACTTGGAGGTTAGGCACTCCATCAAAACATAGAATATATTACTTAACAACACAGGTATAAGTTTAACGTTTACCTCATGTTAATACCTACAATACCAATTCAGCATTTTGTTTAAAATACTGAGAAGTAACACTGTTCACTGAATCATGCATTACTACCACTGCCCCTTAAACTGAATAACCTGAAACATATACCTCTATAGGGATTAATCCACATCTGTACACAGGAGTTCAAAAAAAATAAACACACACCCTAAAATTTTAATGGTACATAAATCACTTTCAGATTAAAATATTCTTTAAAAGCCTCTAATTTAAATTACATTTAACTTAATTATATTCTTATTACGCCAATTATTCACACTTATAATTTCATCGAAATGTTCTTACATATAAAAAAAATATATTCAATCTGTAAAGTTCTCAAAGTGTACTTAGATATCAAAACGTATTCAAACCTCAAGACTTCTTAAAATATTCTTACATATATTATATATGTGTGTGTGTATATATATGTATATATAAATAAATATATCAAACCTGAAAAAGTTTTAAAATACGCTAATATCTATATAAAAACACGAATCCAACCTAAAGTTTTTAATATATGCTAATATATATCAAACTATATCCAACCTGAGAACTTCATCACAATGTGTTGCAAAAAACATCAAATCTAAAAAAGAATTTTAAAAAATCAGCTGATCTATAAAACTATCATGAATTCGTTTACTTCTTTAAAATCACTTAATGAATAAAGCTTCACCCATCCTGACATTTTATTCATAATGAGCTTACTTAAAAAAAATTATTCTTAACTCTACCCAATGTGTGATATTTATTTTAGAAGTGTAATTATCTACAGAATGTACACCCAATCTGATATATTTCTTCCAATGAATGAACGTAAATCACTTCCAACTGAAAAACGTTTTTGCAACTAAAACCATATCCAATAAAATAAATTGTAAAGTATAATTATCTAAGCTAGGTTAATTTTTTAATTATTTTTAGAGTAATTTCTTATAGCTAATATCTAAAACTGACAAATATTATAAAATATACTTATCTACATCAAATTCAAAACTGAAAAGTTCTCCACACAATGAAAATTAGGAAAGCATAAATATCTAAAGGATGTTTTGTCTTTAGCTTATATCATAACTCTAGTGGCTAAAATAGTTAATAAGCATCTTGCCATTTTATACAAACAACCAAAATATAACTAAAATCTAAAGTGTAATTTAAAATATAAGTTTTTACAGTCAAATATTATACATACAAATACATATTAAAATATCTCTTTTCTTACATTTATCAATATTAAATACTTTCCTATCTAATATGAATCCTAAAAATAACAATTGGCATGAAATGAAATGATCAGAAGTACTTAAATTTGCATTCCCACATTTTTAAGCTAGACTTACTTCCCTGGACTTTAAAAACAATCTGACTTATTGGGGGTAGAAATTTAGAATTCTGAACTCTTAAACTTCAAATTTGACTTGTTCAACACTACTTTCATATATACAAATATTATTAGGAAAAAAAGAATGAGTAAAATATTTTGGTTGTTTTTTTATTTGACTTATTTTGACTCAATGATTTTAGTACAGTATTCAATTACTTCCAATAATAGTGCAATATTTGTGACCAGAGGAATATTTAAACTAAAAGGAGCAAAATGTCAGCTGATGTACTATTAAAATAAAAATATCTGCACAAATTGCAGTACATATGTTCATTACTAGACTGAGAATTATCAGCACTAGGTCCTCAAGTTTCATCTTGGCCATCTGCATAATAAGTCCACCTTACCAGTGGCCTAGGTCTTATTATGGCACTGGCAGTACGCCTACCATCATCATTATGAAGTACATTTAAAATAGTCTTGCATTTCAGCCATAGCACTGTTTTTACCATAGTTTTTGGAATTTCCAAACCTTAGTATTTTTTATTAAAGCTATCAACGTCATCACTACCTTTCCAATTTCACCATAGTTTAAGAATAGCTCACTGCAGAAAAAAAGGGTCTAATTCAATTAAGAATATTCATCATCATGCAAATCATATGAACATGTAAACAGCTTCACTGAAAATGCTTTCAAGTGTTAGATTGTATACATGTGTTCATACTCCAAGGCTCCCTATTGCCAATGAAACACACACTGCTACAATTTGGAAGGTACTTATCAGTGTATATAAAATGATAAAGATATGAGAGTACTAAGTATAAAAACAGTTCAGATTTAGACTGATGAATAAAATTTTTCTGTTATGCTGATAAAATTTGACACTCTCAGAAAAAGTGCTGGTTGTCCTGAGGACAACTAGTTGAAATGAAAATACTTGTCCTTTAGAAAAATTACTATTGAATTTAATTAGCAGCTGTAGATTTAGACAGTAAACAAACAAGATCCATGGTGGTAATTTAGGTAAATATATATTTCATTCCCCAAAGGGGACTGAAATATAACCAGGGATGGTCAGAAACTTCAGTTTCTTATCACCCCATTATGTGAGTTAAGTTTAAGTGACACTTAACTTTAGAGAATTTTGGATTATCGTGGAGGAGTTTTTTGTTAATAACAAAAGAAAATTATATTGTGCTAACTAGTGGGATTGCCTCAAGACATCAGGAGAAGCTGCAAAGAGATCTAGAAAGAAGATAAAGGAAGGAGAGTTTCTTGATGTCTGTTACAGTCAGTAAGCAGAAAAGCAGTTTAACAAAAACATTTTAAACATAGCTTACTAGTCCTCTTTCTTTGAAAATCTGTGTCATTTAAGGTTCTATATAGATGTGTGTATATATCCTTCTTTTCTATTTACACATCTCTAAACTTGCAATATGACCCATAAGGTCAAGATAAGAAATATTTTGATTTAACATCTTCATATCCACAATATGTTCCCTTTGTAAAAGACAATGTTTACTCCTCTGACAAGTGGATTAATCCCTATCAAGAAATCTAACAACTATTCTTCTATTTTTAACCAACAGCTTTACTATTCATAATAATCTAAAAACCACTGATGTTAACCCTTTAATGCAAAATAACAAAAAAATAGAAATTTTACATGGTCCCACTTATAATGTAAAAATTCTTGAATTTAGAAAAACAAATTACTACAGGTGCAGGTGCAACTCGACCTTAGAGATTTAACAATACTTGCATTTTAATATATAGAAACATTTAAAAAATTCTCTGGCAAATATTTCACAATTTCAAATTAACAAGTTGTTACACCGTTAAATTTTAATCAGTAATATCTTTAATATCTTAACGCATATTTATTTAAATATATATGATAGTAGAAAGGGTTAACATTCATGTGTATAGTTCTTAGTCTCTAATAATTTACTATATAAAGAGCAAGTCACTATAGCAGGCAGGACAGTGGTGGCATGCAAAGATTAAGACATGATTCTAGTGCTAATCAGAGAAACTGACAATACGCACAAGAGAGACATGAAAACATGCACAGAAAGAGAAGGCAGCACATACCTTACATCAGTAGCAACCTGTCCAGGTGGTGCAATACTTTTGTGTGTGTGCAAGTGTAAAATCAATGTCAGTTCTGGTGCTTTTTATCTTAATTTTAAAGCTTCAATATTTCTTTATAAGAATATGATACTTTATTAGTACTGTAATTAAAAATGATACTTCATGTTTAATTTTTTAAAATTTTAATTACATTTGATAACTTGGATAAAAAAAACATGGCATAAATTACAATATCAGGAAATTGAAAGTTTAAACAGAATAAAAAGGAAGAATATTTCAAGAACTGGGTAAAGGCAAATTCAAGGATAACAGGCATAGAATCACAACACTTATACAAGATTTGTAATTATTATTTATAAAAAACAAAACTCCTCCAGAGGATCAGTGTATAACCACAACACTCATTTATAAGTTTTTACCTTTTTATTTTACAAAAAAAAATGGAATATAATACAGATAAAAGGAACAAACATTTGAAACTAAAACTTAAATTATTTTAGTAAAACAAACTGTAAGTTAATTGAATGCTCAATATGTAAACAGAAGCACCCAATTAAACTATAAAAATATTTTATACAGTGCTCTTACATAAAATGTGAATATTTTTTAAAGAATTAGTTGAATTAGTATATATATAAAAACACTTGGAGTTGTACAGTCATAATCAAAGACCATCAGATATGCATTCGACATTTGTTTTCAAGGCAACACCAAATGTAAAGTATTACATACAACACTCAGAGATAAAAATTCATAAACATTCAGAAGTATATTACGTAAAATTGTTATTGCATTTATGTGTGAAACAATTAGAATAAAAACATACTATATTTTGATTCCATTTTTAATTTTTATACAGTACTTTCTGACCTAAATAATAGCTTAGTTTTTAAGTTGCTCTTATTGGGGCTGAAATGCCAACTTATGAAGATAGGTTCTACTCCACCCCCACGGTCCAATCATAGTGACCTGTTTTATTTTATTCTGTTTCACTAAGAGGCAGCTACCTTTCCTTTCCACAAAATGGCAGTTTTAGATGTCAGACATTGTGAGCTTGAGCATACCTGCTATTAACATTTACAATTTTTCTTTATTTTTTAAATGTAAGGCTTGCAGACATAGGTTAAATCTGATACATGGTGAATCCTTACTGCTGTGTGGGTTCTCGTTTGACACATACCTCTCTTACTAATGTAAATTTTACATTTCCCACAATGCAGTTTATATCTTATTTTTATTAGTCTTTTATAAGTAACACTTCTATATTGTAGTATGCAAAATTGTTTAAAATATCATATAAGGTCAAAAGATAATGCTGTTATGCTTAATTTCCCTGTAAAGTTAATATTAAAATCAACATAACTGTGTTTGGGAATGGATGATTATAGCAAAATAATAAAATCTTTGTGCAATTTTCAGTTATGAAAACCAATTCAAGTCATTGAAAAAAATCAAAACATTCAGTTTTGTAGACACAAAAAAATTTAAAATTAAATTTTTGAAAGAAAAGTATCTAAAGATATTTCACTATTGTAATACAGCAATGTGTTATTTTGACCATGTGTTGGTTCTCATAGCTGTAAAAGCACTTAAAGCACATGTAGGCTTAAAGATGTCAAATGAAACAAATTAGCCAACATTGAACTCAATCACACAGGTGTTTTCCTGACTAGAAAAAAAAACAAACTAAATATTATAATTATTATACCAAAAATATAACGAGTCATGCTTTAAGAGGAAAATGGTTGCAACATAAACAAAACAACCAATAAAGCAATTATTTCTTATTGTTCCATGATTACCTACCTATTGCCATGGACATGAGAGGCACAGAAAGCAAAACTGTAGTGGATTAGAGTGGGATCAATCATGATGGACTTTTCAGAGCGATCTAAAAGGTCATTCAAGTAACACAAGTGACGGTAGCAACTACGTACACCGTAGCGAGCAGTGTACTCATCTAAAACAAATACTTGACCAGGGCTAAACCACCCCTAGAAGCAAAACAATTAGTGTAGCTGTTAAAACATTCCTTGTTAGTAAGCAGTATTTTACTTAACAAAGAAGTGAGTTACTGAGAAATAAAGTCACTGTATCTATAATAGTTATAGATTTACTGATAATTCCAGATTTGAACATTGTTAAATAGTAATGGTTAATATAACAGTGTAGAAAATTTATTATTCTAGTCAAAATACTCTGTTTAAAACTCAGAAGGCAGTGGCTAAGGGAAATGTCCTTGTTAAGAGTCTAGTCTATAATATCTAGGAAATCTTGTCTGAGTCAATAAGTTAGAACAAACATGCAAAACACACAGTATTTTGGACTTATTACAGAGAATAAACTAGTAAGAGAAACATGTGTCCTCATACAGTTACAGTTTTCACACAAACATGTTATGTTTAAGTTACTTTCTTGAATGATATAAGTAGAGTTTTAGATATTCAATAATTCTCAATTTTGAAACAATTTTACAACATGCTCATCTTCATATGGAAACTTTTTAGATGAGATTACAATGATGATTTCTTATATAGTGCATATTTCCTTACCAAGGAACAGTAGTGGTCACCCAGTCTGAAGTCTAAGCTAGATGTCTGAAGCATTCTAAATAAACAATGATGATCAAATTTGCATGGGTCGGCCATAATAAATTCATCCATTCCATGTTTCCTGGCTCTGTCCGCATCTAATATCAGAACAAATAATTTTCACAGCTCAGAATATAGAAATATATTGGCTTATTACTAGTTATATAAGCTTGATGTTTGGAAATGTCCATGCAGATGCTACATAAAAATACTATGTTACTAGAAAGATACTTCTCAATTGTAGCAAGTAATGAACAAAACAAAATGAGAGATGAAGAGTGAGAACATTTTTCCTTAGAGATTTTAAAAGGATGTAACTTATAGTAAGCACTATCTACATGATAAATCTGGAACACCATCAAGACTTAATTTCAATTGGATGTCAAGTGTTACAAAATATGAAAAAGTAATGAAGATAAAGTTAACTGTAGAGATTCTAGATACTATTAAGAATCCTTTTTTGTAAGTGCTTCCAACTCCAACTGTGTTGTAAGTATTCATGCTTGTTTTAACCCGATACTATCCGGGGCCATTTTGTCTTATTGCGAGGGCAAAATCATTTGTGAATTGAAAAAATGATAGAGAACTTATCTTTTATTGGATTTCAGATTTTATTTTTGTAAATAGTAGCATAACATTCAATTATTTGTACAAAATTCTATTATTTAATGAAGTTTAAAGAAGAATTTAATGAAACAATTCCTAAAATACGTTTTAGACTGTAAATAAGCACCCTCAAAGAAGAAATGTTTTTTTCAAACATTTTTTTAAGATATTTCCTTTCACTTCCGCACTGGTCCTGCCATCTATGATTGGTATCTAAACCTTTTTCTAGTCTGTTTTCTTTATAAAACTGCATCTGAGTGTGTTAAACCTCAGTTGTAAAACTTTTAGCCAATCCTAGTCGAAAGTGTCAATTTCAGTACCAATTATTCCAATTGCTGTATCTCCCGTTTGACAAGTCATAGGATGATAAGGAAAGCATGTGATGAAACGTTATTTTCTGGATTTTACAATATGAATGTGGGTGGTGCTTATTATAGTAACTGCCATTTTATGTAGAGGTTGTATTTAGTACTGGCCAATAGGGCTTTTCTATAAGCGTTAGAAAAGTTGCTTCTGGAAAAAACTGCATGGGATGTACGTGACTTTTATTATTTTTATATATCTTTGCTTTGTAGTAAGACCCACACTTCTGTTGTTATTGCGTTAGAATTAAAACAGTCTAACTGATATATATATATATATTTACTTTGTTCTTATATTTTGCAAATGGTTCAAATTCAGTGTACAAGTGACAACAATAAAACCCATATGTTGGTTGTGAAACAGGCTAAATACATTCATCTCAATAATATAGGGAAGCTATGACATTCTCACAGTTGGAATCTCAATACATTGAAGAGCTTAAGTTTCGCATTCCAACATAAATCTAACCTATAATGAGAGGAATGTGACCAGGACTAATCTTTTAAGTGCTGTAAAGTAATTTTCTTTGTAATTTATGGTGTCTGTATCGTTTGGTAATCTCTTCTAACAGGATGTATCAAGTAACAAGGGGTCAGGCTCAGGCGGTGTTTATTGAAACCACCTGTACTATAAACTGTTACATACATTCGTTAGTAGTGGCAATTAGTTTTGTCTCTATTCTGAAACAACATACACAGACATATGTACACGTTCAAATGTGCATGCGCTCGGTTGAACAAGAGTGACCACCAAAAGGGGGTGAGATAGTTTACGGACAACGTACAAAGTTCATGCTGTTGACCCCACAGTTTATTCGGCACAATAAACACAAAAGTACGACTGCAATGAAACAAACATAAATTTGAAATAAAAATATATTTATGAAACAAAATTAAAATGTTTTTATGTACATATATAAACATGAAATCCTAGTTGAAAATAAAAAAATACTCATTTATTGTTTAGGTTTATTTACAAATATTATTTACGGGTTTGTATATTACTTGAAACCATAAGAAGAGTACGTGATTATTAAAAAATTAAAAATTGATAAAATTTGCATTTCATGGAGGATACAATCTTTTGGGGATTTCAAAATAATGTACTAAAACATTAACAGTAATAAGTTCAAATCTGTAGCAAATATGAATATCGTAATAATTTCTTATAAATACCATTTCCTAATGTAATTTTCCAAAATATTAAAGATCATAATGCAAAAAAACTAAATTTATTAAAAGTAATAGGCTTTATGTTTCTTAAACTACCTACATTTATCAAAGTTTTTATGAACTTTTGAACATATTCATCCACTAGTTTTATTGTTGGTATGAAATATAGCAAGACTTGCATTGCCTACTAAGAAAGTTAGTAGCCAGTAGTCATCGGGTTAAGCTATAATTTTTTTACTTGATCTAGAAATGATGATTAACAAAACTCCAGAATACCAATATTTCTTCTGGAACTAAACTTTGTTTTTCATTTGTTAAACTAAACCGTTCGGCACAATAGTTTTCTCTTTAGTTACTCTCACTTATCCGACAACACCTACAGTCTATATACTTATAAGAATGGGTTATGCTACAACATAAGATTTAAAAGAGCTATATGTTCCAGAATTTAACTGACCATCACTTCTATTAATGGTTACAACCCTCATTCACTTTGTTCTGCATACATAACAACTAGATACATTTTTTTATATTTTTAAAAATTTCTAATATTTTATAATTCAATAATTTTTATTTGCAAATTCACCACTGGTGGAGAGAAGATTTCTTTTTAAACTTCCTCTGTGTGTTATTCTTTTTTCAATAAATGAGCCTACCTACTTTTCTAATACTTTAATAGTGTTAAATGCTGCTCAGATTTTAGTGGTTACCGTTAGGTATATACTAGACTAATTTACACATTTCACTAAAACTGATGTCTATCTCTATTGTGTCAACTTGCATGAAATTTGAAATACTTTCTAAGGATTTGTGGATTATTTCAAAAATAGCATCATCCTCTTTGCAATAAGTGATTTTGTTATAAAATTTTTATATTGCTTCAAAAACAGTACAATGAGGCCTAAAATTCTATACTTTATGTATATATAAAAATATTTCAAACATAAACATATGTTCTATCACAGTTGACTTTCTACGGTAATCGTCTGAGGCAACCATACCACTATCAAAATTGTAAAACTGTTAAAGAATAGTAAAACCATTTCAGCTAATTTTAATCTTACATTTCACATGATATACATATGGTTCCAATGTGAAATACTACATACACAATCACAACTTCAGATCCAGTTAAATAAGAATTTCACATTGACCCTAAGCTTTAATATACTTTTCTTCACCTCAAAAATCTCAGATTTGATTTGTGTAATCTCTAAAACCTTTTAAATACATTTCAAATGTTTGTTTTCAGTAAAGCTTTATATTTTATCTGTTATTTTCTCTACCCTAACTCTATACAAGGTTGGTCAATTTGACTGACCTCATAACCAAAAAAAATCTAAATTACCCATTTTTTTCTTTCTAGAATGACTTCAAATTGTAACATGAAACTACATTCGTTTATCCTAAGTAGCTTTAAACTCGTAACAGTATAGATCTATTTATACTTGAAGTTTATAGCTTTACTGCCCTTTGAACCATGTCTAACTACTATTCGCACCATTATAAGTTGTAAATCACTTGGGGAACATGGAGGTCACATTATGCTATGGAATTAGGTTACCCACGAGTTGATCGCATGTGTGCCTCATGAAGCATTTTTTATTATATTATTATTTATTTTACTAATCTAACCTTAACTAATCTAAATAGATTACTATTTTTACATTTTAGTTACTTTTATAATAATAAATAAAGAATAAACATGAAAAAGAAAAAATAATGAACTCACCCGTGTCTTCTTTTTTCTTGCTGTCGATGACATTTCACCCTACTTTTTCTTTTATATTAACGGTAGTAATGCACTAAATAATTTTTATTTAATTAAATTATGCACCAAAGAACATAGAATAATTAATGCAAAAAGTAGACAATTTCCCCTACCTATCACAATTTTTCTGGCTTTCTAACTATGTGACAAGAACCGTTACAAATTCATCCAAGCTAGCTATCTTTCCCATGGGAATGAAGCTTGTATTAACAGTGAAATTGACAATTCTTCATTCAGAAAACATTATATAATACATCATTTGATACATGAAAACCTTGGCTTTCTATTCATTATAGATAATATATAGTTAAATGTAAGAAAGAACTATTAACAAATCCTGAAAGAGAGGATGTGACAGGTGGATGTAGCAAGAGATGTCTGATTTTCTATTTGATAGCTCTGTAACCAAACAAAATTGAAGGCTATAAAAATTATGGTTTGTCTGAGCAATGACGATTTTATAGTGAGTAACTTATGTTGAATTTTGTACTTACTGGAGGGGGTGGTGGATAAAATAGAGAAAATGTTTCGTGTATCATACTAGGAAATTCAGGATTTTGAAAATAT